ATATGCCGATAAGGCTGACTGGAAGGCCTCAAAGTCTCGCATCCAGCTGATCGCGAACTGGCAATCGATTATGTCAGTCTGGCAGAAATGGGGGCGGAAAGAGGAGTTACACGGTAGTCTTCTGGCCCTCCGACCACCTGCTTCAAGATTACTAAAACAAAAACTTACTGCCTTCGGCCTTCAAAGTTCATTTTAAATTGACCTCATGGCTGTTTCTCGAGAAAACTGTTCCGCTTAAAACTGCCAACAAATGTGCTATGATACAGCTGCATTAGATCGAACGGAGAGACACTGGTTCGGTCGGGTACCGTCTAGCCTTTAGTTAATATCATGGGTGCGTGCGGCAGGCCACCTCGGCTATTGCACCAAGTCTCGTCACCAGACTCGAATAGGTGTAAAAGGTTCGGGCCGATGCTGGGGGTGCAATTTCCCGTGGCAATTCTGTGCATTTCTAACTAAAGATATGGTGCATTAGAAGCCATCACGACGCACTAAAACGTGCGGTTTGTGAAGCCGACAGCTGACTGGAAAAATGACCTCTTCTCCAGAATGTTATGCCTTGATGTGGCCCTTCAGACACTTAACCCCCCTCCCCGTTAACGCCCGGCGCGTGTAGAGTCCGGGGCGCGGTCGTGTGTTGCTCGACTAGACAGGTGTTTTAGTCTCGTCAGCCACCTCGGCCATGACAATCTCCGGTTGTCTTGACCTTGTTTTGTCATCCGACCACAATGGGTGTGAGGGAAGTAGAATGCTGCAAATCATGCACAGGTCATTACTTCGTCCTCTCCGGCATAGTGGTGGCTCTCCGCTTAAAAATAATGCTCAAAGCGTCCAACTATCCTTTTCAGGATGTGCGCAATTTACGTGCTTACTTAAACACGTCCTTTATGAGTAGCTTACACATGTGTGCCCGCAAAGATGTTGGACTAAATGCCATGAGACTAAGGTGTACGAAATAAGTAGTTGTCATTTCCCCAGCATCTCAGTCTAACGCAAATTCAAGTCAAGAAGAGGAGGCGTTCACCGGGAGATGTTTATTGGGGGTCTGACGTTTGGAGTGTTGATTTCGCTTACCCATCTTTAGACGCTGAAAAGTAGGGCGCATGGCTTCCATTACATGGTGGACTTTGCTCGATGTGTGGCCCGCCAATGCCGACTGTGGGGCTGCCTCGGACCCGCAGTTCACCGTGATCCGTATCGACTGGCCCTCGTTGACCGCGGAGATAATCGGCGACCGCGATCGTATCCAACACATCTCTCCCGGCAAGCGCCTCTTATTCTCCTTCCTTTGGTATGTTATCTGGGAATCGTGCTTTCACTGCTATTGACATTTTAAGAATTCTGACCGCGGGTTCAGAATTTTCGCTGTACACAAAGCGGGCTCACTCAAATAAGGGAGGCTGCTAGGATTCTACCCAGGCGAAAATGTAAGTGCTATAACACCCCGGTACTCCACAAAGTCACGCACGTTCGCAGTGGACGGATACGTTATTTGTTTGGCCCTGATTTGCGTCGTAAGATTTGACCAGCATCTGCAGTGTTGCAGAAATTGCACTAGATACTGCGCGGAGATTAACTGACAAGACATCGACCCAAAGCCACGGATAAAATTCGTACCACAAAGACTAACCTTATTAAGGACGCAGATGAATGGCAGCTTCATGCGGT